AATATTTAAATTCTTTGAATACCCCAGGCCTCAACATTTCTAAGTAAATGATCGTGCACTGTATTTTAAGGCAATAAAAAGCTAGCATGATTCTAGGCAGCTCTACAAAGTATTAGCTTTCTACCCATGCCATTATTTAGGTTTTATTTTCCTCCAAATGTTATAGGTTCACAAATGTTTTGAGGCATGTTCTTGCTGAAGGAATTGAAAGTTGCAAACCTCTCTTTGGGGAGTGGATGCTGGGGAGTGGATGGGAGGGCACTGGGTGACAGAAATCTCTGTCGCCCAGCCTCCCTCGCAAGTGCCTTTCAATCCGTAGGATCACTGCTGACTAATTGCCTTCTTCTCAGCACTGCCTTTAGGCCAGCCATTTGTTACCCAACATTTGAACAGGCATTCGTCATCGCTGTTGATTTCCGCACGTGGCTACTCATCCATTTGAGTCACACCACAAACCCAGCAAAGCGTGACCCATTTTCCGACGTGTAAGGAGTTGGGTCAGCACCCACATCTAAGGTGGCAAATCCTCTGTATTAAATATGGATGGGATATCTGCAAGTAGAAATACTCAGACAAACAAATCGATATTTTCCATGACCTTGAACTAGTTTGCTTGGGAAAGATATTTTCATTCGCCGCTTCCTACCTTTAATTCCCCAATGGAGGAAAGTAGTCCAGCTCCGTATGCCCGCAGCTGCCCTTCCTGTTTGCAAAGGCCAAACTCAATCGTGAAGAAATAGCACTGGAAAAAAAAAGTAAACAGACATTATGTGCAGTGAACTGCTCAGCAAGCTCTTCAATTGACTAAAATGACACCCATAAGAAGATGCCACCCTCTGTCTAATTTCTTCAACACCGTCTGCTGATTTAAATACATCCGAATTAAAAATCACTATCGGAATGCATCCTCATGCTTATGAATCCCTCCCTAGGTTCAACGTACAGGAGCTCAGGTGGCATAGTAGTAGTTACGAGTTGGGCAGCTAACCGCAACGTCTGCAGTTCAAAGCCACCAACCGCTCCAGGGAGACAGACAGGGCTTTCTATGCCAGAAAAGACTCAGAGTCTTAGACACTCACCGGGGCAGTTCTACGCTGCCCCATAGAGTTGCTATGTGTCTGCATGGCCTCGACGGTCATAAGAAGTTAAAGGTAAACAGAGGTCTGGTGGCATAGAGGGTTACGCATTGGGCTGCTAACCTCAAGGTCAGCAGTTTGAAGCCACCAGCCTTGCAGCAGGAAAAAGATAAGGTTTACAATTCCTGTAAAGAATTACGGTCTCGAAAACCTACAGGGACCATTCTATTCTGTCCTATTGGGTCACTCTGAGTCAGATTTGAGTTTGGCTTTTCTGTTTGAAGGAAAAGATTTTAACTACAGAGGCTCATAAGATTTCTGGACTCAGACCCCTACAGGTCACATCACATCCTCTGTAACAATGTCAAAATCATGAGGACACACATTTACAAGTGAATACGTCCCAAGGACGATGCCACAAGGAAAGCCTCCTCTATTCACAGAGTTGGCTGTTAGTGGTATCAACCAGGTACATACCAGTATGAAAAAATAATCTACAACCGAATAAGTCTAAATTAATCACTTGCTGTTTTTTACTCATTTGACAGACATTTTTTAATACTTACTAGGTGCTCAGGAGCCCTGCTAGTGTAGTTGGGTAAGAGTGGGATTGTTAACCTCAGAGTCAGCAGTTCAAACCCACAAACTGCTCCACAGAGAGATGAGGCTCTCTGCTTCTGTAAAGCTTTACAGTCCCGGGAAACCCTAAGGAAGAGCTCTACGCAGACCTAACAGGACAACATGAGTCACAATCTGCTTGCATGTCATGGCAGGAGACAAAAGTGAGACCCAAAAAGCAAGTACATGCCTGCGCAACCATCGAAGCCATCATTCTAGTCTAGTTTTCAGTGACATGTTACGTATCTATCTATGCATACATGTATGCAATTTTTTTTAAAATAACACCTTTGTTGGCCTGAGTTTTACATGTGTTGACTCCTCCCCCTTCCCAAGGATATTAAAAATCCCCAGTGGGTTCTGCTGGTGTTTAAGAAAGCAGCTTAAGAGAGACAAAGAAATCTCCGCATAACCACACAGCTCACCATGCCGCTGAGAGGGGCTGGAATCACACTGGTTTTGCTCTGAAAGAAAGTGAGAAGCTGGCGGGCAATAAAACGTGCACCACATTAACACTGTCCTGCCTGCCTGCTGACAGAGGGGGAAGGCCTTGAGCAAGAAGAGAACTAGGCACGCCTGAAAATGGGCAGAAGCGAATCATCATTGCTCGCCCTTGGCGGCTGGCTCTATTTTTATTTGGAGGTTAAGATGCCCCTGGGTGCAGGGGGCTTGATAGGTTTTTGGTAACGTGCTGGTGATCTCTAAAGACCTGTAGCCCTGCTGCACTGGCCAGACCTCAGCACCTGGTCTAGCTTAAGCTCCAGCCTAGAATGCCTTTTCTGATTCACCTCCTAAAGAGGCTGACCTGACAACCCTTCTGTCCCCTATCGCCACTCCTCCATCCCTTTGCTCTCTTCTCCATCCCACTGGCCACGTTTTGACACCATCGGCAGCGGCTTTGCGTTTGATGGGCACTGTTCATCACCCCTCTCTCCCCTCTATGTAAACTCCCTGAGAATCGCTATCTCTAACTGTTCAACTGGAACCCGGGCTCTGAGTGTCAATCCATTCACAATTTAGGGCTGGATAGATCTTTCTTGTACATGGTAGGGTCCTTAGAGGAATCCCTGACCTCAGCTCACTAGATGCTGGGAGTAACCCCCTCCCCGACAGTGTGACAATCAAACATCCTAAAATTATAACTCGCTGCCATAGAATAAATTCTGACTCACAGTGACCCTAGAAGACAGGGTACCAGTGCCCCTGTGAGTTTCTGAGACTATAATTCTTTATGGAAGTAGAAAACCTTATCTTTCTCCCTCAGGGCTGACTGATGGTTCCAAACCTCTGACCTCGAGGTTAGCAGCAGCCCAACACATAACCACTACACTACCAAGGCCCCTAAGATTTCTAAGCTCTGCCCAAAGATTTCCAGAGAGGGGAATATATCCCTCCTGGTTGAGAACCACTGAGCTAGGGTAATATCTAGAAAAAAGTGAAAGCTCGATTAATATGTGTTGAATATAAACCAGTGAATGAGTGTATTTTCTCAAAGGTAGGTTTTTTATGTGGCAGCCTGATGTGTAGAAAAGAAACACACAGGGAGTCCTGAGTTCTAGTCTTAGTCCTGCTTCTAATTTAGCAATGTGACCCCAGCTTTTCTGGGTCACAGTTTTCCTGCCTCTGACAGTCTAGTCATTCTTTTTTTTTCTCAGTCTCAGTCATTCAACAAAGATTTCTGAGCACCTCTACACAGCAAATCCTGCGCACGCTGTCGAAGATATGCAGTGAACCAGACAACAAAGGCTCTGATCATATGAAGCATATGTGGTACAGGCAACAACAACAAATAATAATAATAGATCTCTAGCAGAATCTAGGATAAAATATACTCCTCTA